GTCAGAATTGACATGTGGGACATGACCAGCTGTCACAGGTGACATGTAGGACATGACCAGTGGTCAGAAGTGATATATGGGACATGACCTGCTGCTCTGCTGGGCAGAAATGACATGTGGGACATGACCAGTGGTCAGAAGTGACATGTGGGACATGATCTGCTGCTCTGCTGGGCAGAAGTGACATGTGGGACATGACCAGTGGTCACAGGTGACATGTGGGACATGACCTGCTGCTCTGCTGAGCAGGAGTGACATGTCTGGGTGGGTTAAGGTCAACCACCAAGTCCCTGTCCCAGTGTGGCTGGCAGAGCTAACGAGTGCCAAGGGCTATCAGGGTGTCCAAAAAAGCATCAATCCAAAATAAATCCACATGGCAAACAGGCTGGGAATAAAATGGAGAGAATCCCTGCATTTCTTCCAAATTTCACTGCATGGACAGCAAGGAAACAAGGGCAATGGAGCAGGGGAAGGAAAACACGAAGTGTTCCATCAGCACTGCAGAAAGGGAGGGAATTGGAAGGAGGGAGGGAGAGGAAAAAACTTTAAAAAGAAGAGGAAAGGGAAAATGCAAAGAAAAAAAAAGGGAAATGAAAGGGAAATGAAAAGGAACTTAAAAGGAAAAGGGGAAATGAAAAGGAAGTGAAAAGGAAAAGGAAAGGAAAAAGGAAGAGGGGAAAAGAAATGAAAAAGAAGAGTGAAAAGGGAAAAATGCATGGGAAAAGATGCAAGGGGAAAGATGCAAGGGGAAAGGAAAAGGAAAAGAAAAAGGAAAAGACAATAATGCCCAATTGACAGCTGAATTTTGAGCTCAGGAGAAGAGATTCTGTATTGCTGCTAAGGCAAAGCAGCTCCTAACAGACAAGAGAGCAGAGCTGAGCAGAGCACTGAGCAGAAATGGACTCTGGCTGAGGTTTTCAAGTAACAAGAGGGGAAGAAAGCATAACATCTGCTCCAGGGCCAGGGAAGGAAACACTCAATTTAACATAATTCCAACTGGAAATGCTGTGGGAAATGCCTTCTGCTCTGCTCAGAGGGGTGTGATGCATGAGAGTGCTGTGAGCAGGGCTGGGATATGCTGAGTTTACAGCAACACAACACAGGCAAAGCACTGGAAAGTGATGAAGAGCCAAAAGCAAGAGCAGAGCAAGAGCAAGAGTCAGAGCAGCAGATGGAAAGTGTCTGGAGGAGCAGGAGAACCAGCAGAACCCAAGTTGTGGCCTCTGCATGTGGCACACAGGCACGAGCACATGGTTAGCCCCAGCTCACCTGGAGCTGAGCTCAAACGACACCAAACAGAGACTCAGGTCACTGAACAAACCTCCACCCTCAGGGTTATGATGCTTAAGCCACCCAGTTTCACTTCCCCAGGGCTGGTTTCAGAGCAGAACACGCAACGGGTCCAGAAAAACCTCAATTTTCTAAGTCTGAGAGCAACGAGCTAAACATGAGTATCACCAAGGAGTAATTTTCAGCAAGACTCTCCCAGAGCAACTGCAGAGGACAGTGGAAACAAGGCCAAAGCTTTGCCTGTGTTCAGTGAGGTGGTTCCAAAGGACATTTCTGGTCACCCCAGTCTATGCCCCAACCATCTCTCACTGCTTGGCACAAGGCAAACTCAGCCAGGACTGAGAACTCAGGGGGCTGTAGGACACAGGGGACAGACAGGAGGAGGAGGAGAAGGAGGGAAGAAATTCTGCTGGGGAAGAAGAGTACAAAGAACCTCCTAAGACTTAGAGAGCTGCTGCAGAAACCCCTTGCCAGGACTATGCCCCTGCTCTTCCCTCCCTTGGCAAGTACACGTAAACCTCGTGAAACTCCTTTGGGTCACAGAAAGTAACTCGTAGCAGGACCTTCCATTGCAACAGTAAACAGAAAATCAGCATGAGGTTGGCCCTACTGCCCATGAGTATGTTTAAACAGCAATTCCAAGCCTGGATTTGGAAGTTATGGCACCCCTGGAACACCACATTGCCCAACAACATCTCCACACCTTCCGTCATCAGCCTCAGCACAGCCACTGAGCAACTCCACAGCTCAATAATCTCCTCAGCCACAGGTGGCTGCAAACTTCAGGCTGAATATTAGATCCCTCACGAGTTGCCACCAGCAGAGCACAAACTTCATCTGAGTTAGCACAATGTTCCTCTCCGGTGACATTTATCTGCACGACATCTCCTGAGCCCATTTTGCTGCTGTCAGAGAAAAGGGAACAAGCTCTGCACGAAAGCAACGTCTGAGGTGTCCTGGGTATGAGAACAGCCTCAGCCTGTGACAGACATCATGTTCTCTGGCTTTGAAAATGCAACTTTAGAGCCAACAGCAGCAACTACAAAGCTGATTCGGGTGCTGCGAGATGCTGCAGAAGAGGGAGGGACAAAGAGCTCCAGTATCCACACATCACCCACACTGCACAGCAGAAAACATCCAAACAGCCACATCCCACAGCAGCACACACTGAGCTCAGCACACACACATGGTCCTGCCCCATCCACCCCTGCACACGTTACCAAGCTCCACAGTAGCTGTTTCATGTCTCTCAGCCCAGCAGAGATACCCTGAACACACCCCACAAGGCCAGGGACACTTTGCTGAGTCAAGAGTTTGGAGAAGACACACTAAGAAGGTCTTGCAAAGCTTCCCAAGTGCCCTAAGTGTTCCCCCTGAGAGCCACCATGGAGGATGAGGATCTGTTATCACAAGGGCACAGAGAGCCACGAATTAAGGTCCCTTTGCATGAGCAGATGTATCAGTGAAGCAGTTTGTGCTGCTTTGTCATAGGAACCCCCAGGAAATGAGCTCTCCACCAGTTCTGCCTGCCCATAAATCACTGGCAGGGCCAGCAGGACACATCACCATGTGCTGCTTCATCTCCAGCAGCATTTGTCACACACCTGTGGCCACAGTCAGCACAGAATTGTTTGCATGTTCCGACCAGCAGCACATAAATCAGGTTCCCTTCTTTTTCCCACCTCGTGCCCAAGACGTTCAATGGTCTCCAAACATTTACAGAGTGTCCTGACTAATCCCACTGGAGATTTCCTGGCAGGTTACCCATCGTGCCATGTCCTCTCTGCTAGGTCACACACCAATCTGGGGAGGGAAGGGGGTGAGTCACACACCAATCTGGGGAGGGAAGGGCTGGAATGGGCTAGGAAATGCCTTTTTTCACTCCCACATGTTGCCTTGTTGCTTCATAAACACCCAAAAGAGTGAAGACACACAGAAATCAGAGTACAATGGAGTTACTTCAGTTGAAAGGTTCATGCTGTGCTCTCCTTTCCATGGGTTGGGGCTTGATTTGCCTTGATCTGATGCCCCTGATCAACAACTACTGACACAAAAAGAATCCTGTTTTACTGGAAAGTCTCATTTCTATACTACCATGTCCCAGTTATCTCTTACTGGGCACAAATTAGAAATTTACTCTCACTAAACTAGAGGATTACATTCACTGCCAGAGCCTCAACCAAACCATGGGCTGTTCAAAGTCAACTGAAATTCTGGGAAGTGAAAAGAAAACCACAACAAATTCTGATATTAAGCACAGAAAACTCCACTGTCATCAGCATCTCTAAGCAGATTTGTTACAGAGAAGACCAAACAGGGAGTGGTGGCACCTGGAAAAGGCAGAACTCACAGAGGAATTGCTTCCTTGGCCCAAACACACATTTCTCAGAGCTTAAATTAGTGTTTGAAAGGAAAAGCACTTGCTTGAAACAGGTTTTCCCCTTTCTCCCATGACCCTTGTGTCTCCCACAGCTGCTCCAGGCCCTGATCCAGCTCTGCAGTGACCAGGTTTGCTCTGTCATCTCCCTGGTGTGGATTAACTCCTGCCACACTACAGAGGAGAATTTTCACTGGAGTCTATCCCAGCAGGTCCCTTTAGCTGCACAGTGAACACACCTCTCAAAAATGCCATTTCTGCCTCTCCATTCCCCCCACACTTTGGTCCTCAACTGGATTTTCCTTCCCTATGGTTTGTTCAGTCTCACTCCTGCACCACAGAACCTGCCCCAAGGCACAGAGCTCAACACATTCCCCTAATTAGAGATAAGACAAAACCAGAAGAGTTTACTTGTGGCCAACAGGGGAAAACAGAGCTCCTCTTGTGAGTTTTGGCAATGTCCAAACCCAACATTGTTTCTGAGGGAAGGTTCTGTCAATGCAATAAAGCAAATAGCCCAACACACCTTCAAAGGACACTGGAAGCATTAAAACCCAACAGGGACTGTGCAGTAACTCCCATTTACATCCCCAAATGTTATCCTTACTCACTGCAGAGAGCATAATATCCCAATTCTGCTGAGAACTCATGCAACAAATTAAAAGCTGAGGCCCAGCAGCAGGGAGCCTGGAGAGTGCCAGGTAATGAGGGAAATTAAAGGGCCACAAATAGAATCAAGGTTTCAATTATTATCTGGGCTGGGGCTGTGTCCATGACTCCTGTCCTGGAGCCCAAATGGCTCTCTGGAAGGGACCTGGACCAGAGCAGAGGGAGAGGAGAGGTGTGGAGCAGGGAGAGGACATAGTTCTAGTGCAGGTCTCCACCTGAGTGATGGTCCCTGCTCCACATCCCTGGTCCGCACATCCCTAGAGGAGAGGTGTGGAGCAGGGAGAGGACATAGTTCTAGTGCAGGTCTCCACCTGAGTGATGGTCCCTGCTCCACATCCCTGGTCCCCAGTGCACATCCCTGGACCTCACTCCACATCCCTGATCCCCACTGCTCATCCCTGGTCCTCACTCCACATCCCTGGTCCTCATTCCACATCCCTAGTCCCCACTCCACATCTCTGGTCCACATCCCTTCCCTGCCAAGACCAGAATCAAACCAAACTCTCCCCAAAGCTCTAGCTGAGTGCAGATGCCACTGGGTGCCATCTCTGCCACCACTTGGCTCTCCCAGTGCTGTGCAGCAGCACAGAGCACACCCCAAGCTCCCAGCAACACCTCAGCACGTGGAGGGGGATGCTCCAGAGCTGTGTCCTCACTGACTTACAAACACAAACTGGTTTCTGAGCAGACCACTGGCTGCTCTTTTGGCAGGTTATGGTTCTCTGTCCCTTGAGCTCAAAGGCAGGTTGGCACTCGAACTTGAGGCTGTCTCCGTGGCGGAAGGTGGAGCCTTCTCTGCGGCCGTAGGCTGGGATCCCGGGGTCACCACAGCTGCCCTGGTCGATCTCTGGAAGACAGAACACAGAGGTTGTGTGTGGGAAGGCTCTGAGGCTGAGCTGCTGCAGGACCTGCACTGAGTGCTGCCAGCAAGGACGTGGTACGCCCGAGGAGACAACCCCCCTCCTGTGCCACTTCCCTCCTACAACCCCTCCTCGGCCTGAAATCCATGGCTTGAAGGTGAAAGAGGGAGGATTTGCTGGTCGATCTCTGGAAGACAGAACACAGAGGTTGTGTGTGGGAAGGCTCTGAGGCTGAGCTGCTGCAGGACCTGCACTGAGTGCTGCCAGCAAGGACGTGGTACGCCCGAGGAGACAACCCCCCTCCTGTGCCACTTCCCTCCTACAACCCCTCCTCGGCCTGAAATCCATGGCTTGAAGGTGAAAGAGGGAGGATTTGGATTAAATATTAGGGAGCTTCACTGGGCTGGGAGGTGCTGAGGCTCTGGTACAAGGTTTCCCAGAGAAGCTGTGGCTGCTCCATCCCTGGGAGTGCTCCAGGCCAGGTTGGACTGGGCTTGGAGCATCCCTGTGCTGGTGGAAGGTGTCCCTGCCCATGGCAGGGGTGGGATGAGACATCTATAAGGTCCTTCCAACCCAAAGCATTCCATGACTCTGTGTGAATCCCAACTAAATGAAAACCACAGTGATCCCGAGTAGTTTTAGCTCTGCAGCTGCTCCAAGGATTTGTGGAGCAAACAAACCATGTCTCACTGAACAGGACCAGATCTTCAGCTCCTCTGGCCCAAGGACACAGCAGCTGTTTGCTGATTTCACCTCTGCCCTCTCTCCCTCCATGCCCATTCCCATTCCTGCCCATGGTCCCACCTCAGCCAGCTGCCACAGACACACAGCTAATCCCCCTCTCCTTGGGGATTTGGACTTCAAATACATCACAGACCCAATTTTCTGTTATCTCTTGCTCAGTACAATTCCATTTCCAAAGCAGCCCCAGCTCTGGATCACTATTAGCTCCCAAACTTCATTCCTTCAACACCTCCCTTAGTGCTCCCACATTAGTTATCTGCCTCACACTGCTCTCCCTCCACGTTCCCTGGCTGTTATCCCCATCATCTCTGATCAGTCTCGCTGTCTTTCCTCCCCATTTCCAATTTCTTACACCAAATTGGAAATCTCTTTTATGACACTTTCTTTACAGAGGAGCCTCGCAGAGGCTGAGATTTGCATGGCTCCATCTAATATCCCAATTTGCTTTGAATAACAACAAGCAGCTCATTATCATCCTGACTTCAGGCAACTTAGATACAGGTGGATTTGTCCTGCTCTGCTGAATGCAGCTCGAGCTGAAAAGGCCTTGGCAGGTAATGAAGCATCCCCCACCCCCAAAAAAATAATTTAACATAAATTAACATTCAACTTTTCATAAAACAGCTTTCACTTTTCGCCTCTCGCTGAAAGGATTTACCTGTCTCCCTGCAGACTTTGAAAACCCAAATGGGTCAGATTTGCACTTGCATGGAAAGGCTGAGAAATGCAGCTCGAGCTGAAAAGGCCTTGGCAGGTAATGAAGCATCCCCCACCCCCAAAAAAATAATTTAACATAAATTAACATTCAACTTTTCATAAAACAGCTTTCACTTTTCGCCTCTCGCTGAAAGGATTTACCTGTCTCCCTGCAGACTTTGAAAACCCAAATGGGTCAGATTTGCACTTGCATGGAAAGGCTGAGAAATGAACCAGTTTGGATGGTAAAGCAGCATTGAACTGTATATTCCTCCTCCCTCCCCCCCCCAGAAATGCAGGAGGCTAATAGTACATCTCATGAAATAGAAAATTCTGCTTTCAAACTCAAGAAATAGTGCCAAGATCAAAGGGGAACAAGTGGGTTTGAATCATTTATCACTGTGTCCCCGACAGAGACATGGGAAGCTGCTAACACCTTCTGCTGCGAGTCAACAGCCTTTAAAAAATTCATCTCCGTTATTCCTTTCCTTCCCACACCTTGAAGTCTTGAAATGCAGAGTTAGCAGTTCCCAGAGGTGGCACAGGGAGCTCTCACCTGCAGCCCCAGCTGCTGCTGGGTGCCTGGGGAAGGAGCTGCTGGAGGTCCTGGCACCACCCTGGGTGCTGCTGTTGGGCAGGATGAGTTGTGTTGCAGGTCATACCTGTAGGGTTTTCTCCTCTTGGGAGAAGAGGATGATTTTGGGGGTGATGACACTTTGAGTTGGCTCAAGATCCTGCTCTTCCATTTCAGACATGTATCTCTAAGAGCTTCCATGGCTTGATGTGCCACAGGGTGATGTCTGTGTACTATTGGAGGGGCTGGACAAGGGGGAATGGCTTAAAACTGGCAGGGAGGAGGGTTAGGTTGGATATTAGGGATAAATCCTTCCCTGGGAGGGTGCTGAGGCACTGGGATGGATTTTCCACAGCAGCTGTGGGTGCTCCATCCCTGGGAGTGTTCCAGGCCAGGTTGGATGGGGCTTGGAGCAGCCTGGGCTGGTGGAAGATATCCCAGCCCATGGCAGGGCTGGGCTGGGATGAGCTTTAATGTCCATTCCAACCCAAACCAGTCTAGGATTCCATGATTCCATGCCACTAGACACCTCATTCCAGCCACTGCTTAAAACAAGGAGCAAGTGTGAACTCCTCTCCCAGCCCATCCTGCACCCAACTCTCATGGACCAGTAATTCCCAGGCTGCTCTTCCACTGAGAAGAGCAAAACTCAACACACCAACACCAACCATTCCTGCCTGACTCCAGCCAAGCAGCCTCATCCTCCTGGGGCCCATGGCAGCTTTGCCATGAGGTTCAACAAGGCCAAGAACCCACCACAAACCCAAAGTGCTTCCCTGTGCTCAGGCTGGTGGCTCTGGAGGGACAAGGATGACAGGAACTCTAGAGGGGACAAACCAAGTGGCTCCAGCCGGGGCAGGAGCTAAAGAGAGCTCTGAGTGCTCAGAATATTCATTGCTTTGGTGAAATGAGGACATGCTCAGGGGATCAGAACAAATGCAGCCAAGCCAAGTCCAACCAGAGCCTTCTGAGCCTCTGCTGTGAGAGAGTAAAGGTAGCTCAGGGGCTGAGGAGGCACCAAGTGTTCTCCTCCCTCCTCACCCTGTCCTGTCACACTGTAGGGGAAAAAGAACAGCAGAGAAAGGAGAATTAGAGCTCACACCTTCCACCATCTCCTTGTTAGCAGCAGGCAAACACAGCTCCCACGTTCCATTACCTTCCAGAGGTCAGGAAATGCTGTTTTTCCACAACTCCCATTTTGTGCCCTGAGCAAAACCCCCCTGGGTCCTGCTTTTCTTGTCACAGGCAGGAAAAGCCATGAAATATTTAGCAGGGCACAAGTTCCACCCCAAAAAAACCCCCACAAACCCAACAAAAGCCAGAGTGATTTGGATATCTCCAAACATGTTACTTCAATAAGACTGAAACATTCCTCCTGATGAATGTTTAAAGGCAAATCACTTCCACGTTCGACTAACACGAGTCAAAACCAAACAAGAACAACCAAAATCAAGTGTTTTGACATTATTGAAATGAAACAAGTTGACAGGAATCTTTCAAAACTTCTCCATCAAATCATGCAGAGAGAATTTTGACAAAACCAGCACTTTTCAGCAGCAAAGGTTTGGGCAGGAATTTTGCAGCAGCTCTTTGTCTCCAGGTGGTGGGTGAGGAAATTGGGACCCAGAGGGTCTAGGAAGAGCAAACCCTCCCTGCAGACACCCAGCAGCGAGGTCACCCTTCTCCCAGGCTTCTGGGGGAATTTCTGCCCCTGCTTCCCTCACCCCTGGAGGAAAAGGAGCAGTTCAGAGCTGCAAGAAGCAAACCTCAACTTCTGGAAGTAAAAATATCTCCAAGATGAAAGGTTTGGGAGGACTTTGGACCATACCTGAGGACATCACATGTTCCCAGGCAGAAAAGGCTCAAGGAAACACTTCACCTCACCCACAGCATTTTGTACTTCTATTAACGTGGTTTAAACTAGTTAAAGCTAATGGAATCACACAGGAACTTGGAGGAACCAGGAAAAGGCTGTTTCTATTTCCTACACCTCTTTATTCCCACAATGAATACAAAAGGGACCATCTAGTCCCAAACTCCACCTGCTCATGGAAGGTGTCCCTGCACATGGCAAGGTTTGCAATGAGATGAGCTTTAAGCTCCCTCCAACTCAAACCCTCTGGGACTCTAGGAATGAGGAAAACAAAAGGATTTAAAGAGGAAACACAACAACGAAGAGAGAAACTAAGAAGAAAAAGTCCTTTCTACACGTCTTGGCCACATCTCTCCCATCCCTAACCACTGCAAATGCAGCAGCTGAATCCAGCTGGCTCATAAACCTCTGGGGCATCATATCAAATCACTGCCAAAAGGTCGAGAGGAGACTTAAATACAAGTAAGATGACCCTGGGAGCAGCTCAGGGCAGCACAGCCTGTTGGCTCAGCACTCTCTCAGTGCTGGTGTGTTCTGAGTCAACACATTTCAGGCATTGTGGGATAGCTAGAAATCCTTCAGGTCTCTGCCAAACTTCCACCAGGACTGGGGGGAAAAGAATAACCCCAGAATGGATCTATCAGACCAGCTGCAGGGAACAGCATCTCCTCCACCCAAACCTCCTGGGCAGCACCAATTTGATTAGAGCCATGAAGTTCAGCAGAGGAAATCTTGAGGCTCCAGCCCTGCAGAGCTCCTAAGCCTCTTAGCGCCACGAGTTCCAGCTGCAGAGCTGAGCTCCCAGGAGCCAAACACTTACTCAGCACTTCAGCAGCAATAAATACTGGTTCATCATCCCCTGCCTGCAGCACTTGGGTGGGTCAGCACAGACCTTACTCAGCTCTGCCCAAACCAACCCAATTCCAACAGGAATCCAAAGTCAATTAGTGGCTGTGTCTATAAATCTAGCTCCAACTTTACATTCTTGCCTTATATTACAGATATAGAAATTATACATATGTAAGGCTAAATTCAGACTGGGCTTGGTTCTATTTTTTTTCATGCTGTAATAATTTCCTCTCTTACCACTGAATTTTACACTCTCCTTTTACATTTCTGCTGTTGGTTGAAGTAAACTCAAGCTCAGCAGTAGGAGGAATATGGGAACAAGATCTTCAGCCCACCCATGGGAGATACATCACTGCAGGAGGATTGTGGAGGAGATTCTGGGAGTCTCAATCCTCTCCATTCAACCCTAAATGTCTCAAGAACATCCTTTGTGTTCTGTAAATCCTTCCTGGTGCAAAAGTTCTTTCTCTTTACCCCCAGGGGAAGCAAGAGGACCTGGTGCCTCCCTCTCCTCCAGAACCCTGATGGGATATTATCCTCCTCAGCATCTTCTCCAGCAGGTCCTTGAAGCTGTGCAGTGATCAATCTCCTCAGTGTAAGTGTTTCAGCACAGCAACAGGTCTGATGAGTGCAATCCCCTCCCAGTGCACACTAAAACTTGCCTGGTTTGGATCAATGGCTATTTAAACACACTCTAAAGCAAAGCTCTGCCCTTCTCTTAGGCAGATTTTGGGCCCTGACTTGACAGAGCTCCATTAGCTGTAATCTCCCTCTGGCAATTAGGAGGAAGTGTGGCCATAAAACTGAGCCTGGAACTTGTTAGCAAGTTGCATATCACTTCCTAATGCGTTTGGCAATTGGCAATTGCCTTTTCCTTAGATGCTTCTTGCTTTGTAACTCGAAGCATTTGCAGGAGCTGAGGGAATTTTATGGCCTTGGCTGATGGAGGTCAGCTTAGCCTCCAGGGAGGGCAGTGAGGACCTCAGCATGGGCTGCTTTTCTCTGTTCACGCACAAATCCATTGGGAAGGTCAGTGAAGTGCTGAGGAAACTGCAAAGACGTGCAGAAAAAGGGAAAGGATTTCATAGAAGTCATTGTAAGTCCTGTGAGGAGAGGCTGAGGGAGCTGGGGGGGGCTCAGCCTGGAGAAAAAGAGGCTCAGGAGGAACTTTCTGCTCTCTATAACTCCCTGGCAGGAGGTGCAGCCAAGTGGGATCAGGCTCTGCTCCCAGGGAACAAGGGACAGGATGAGAGAAAACAGCCTCAAGTTCCACCAGGGGAGGTTTAGGTTGGGATTCAGGAAGGATTTCTCCATGGAAAGGGTTGTTAACTTTGGAATGTGCTGCCCAGGGAGGTGGTGGAGTCACCATCCCTGGAGGTGTCCAAGACACAACTCAACAAGGCACTCAGTGCTCTGCTCTAGCTGACAAAGCAGTGATAGGTCACAGGTTTTTTCTTGGTGGTCTTGGAGGACTTTTCCCACCTTAATGATTCTGTGATTCTCTAGAAATAAGCAGCACTTGGGCAGGGAAAGCTGCTGAGTAGCAAAGGGAGCAGCACATTTGATATTGGGAGCTCCAAAGAACAGGACTGCAAGACATGAGTGATAATGGTGACCCCCAAATGGACTGAGGAGGTCACAGGGAGCAAGAGCAGCTCAGCCTTGCTATAGATCAAGGTACCAGTAACAGCAAAGTGAGTCAAAAGGAGGAAAAAGTCACACTC